CCTTCGTGTGATGCTAAAAATGTGACCCTAACCAACTTATTCCCTGCTTTGGTAACTAATGCTGAGTCAGCATCTGTGATTGGAAATAATCCCATGTGCCTCTTCCTCTCATACACCTTCCCAACTTTCTACTTGGCAGAACCGTATCAGTTTGTTCCATCAAAACAGGGTTGTTCCACCTTCTTTGCCCAAGATTGTCTCTGCCTCGAACTTGATTCTTCAGAATAAGAGTCGCTCTCTAAGTTCTTAGCCACCTTCTTGTTCACCTGAGATGATTCGATCATTGCCCAATAGTGAATCTTCCCTTTTGTGTTCCATTTTCAGACCCTGTTTCCCCATCCACCTCCCTAGCATATGACCAATTCCCTCTGTGCCATCAATCATCCTCTTTATCTTCTAGGTTTGATTCCAATGCCATGGTTGCTGGTCATTTTTTCCTATGCTTCTGTGTGAAGTTCATGTAATTAGGGGTTTTGAGTTTAATCCACATAGCTTTTTTTGTTGTTTTACATATTGTAACACCCCGTTACCGGACCGGTGTGTTATTGTCAATTATGATATTAAGCTCAGTTACAATCACAGCAGTTATTTGAAATTACAGAAAAACTTTTTCTTTTTATTCACGTTCGCACTTTTAAAATAATCGTATCAGACAATATACTAACTGTGATCACAACTCAAAACTTATAGCAGAATTATGAATACATTAGCTTAATACCATACTGTTAACATTTGAAGGTGGCTAAGTGGTTCCCATAAACCAATAAAGCTTAAAACTCATTCTATCCATGTTAAACACTAAATGCCTTCGCCTTTTTATTTACTCTAACAATTTTATACCTCTCAAATGCTTATAATTCCTTAAGATGTTATAGATTTCTTCGTTAGCTACGCATGGGTTCAAACCGCGCTCAATTTGGAGCACCGTAGTTCAAGTTATGAATTTTCTAAAAAAATGGATGCTGAATCCATAGGACCCCCGCGCTAAGAGTGCCATTCCCGCGCTAACAGTGCCACAATGCTCCAGAAGGCAAAGAGGATGGCGCCCCCAGCGCCAGATTGGCGCCGATAGCGCCAAGGTTACGGCCTCCCACTGATGGTTGGCGCTAATAGCGCCACAGTTCTGGAGGTAGGCACCAAAACAGGGCAATTTGACCTACTTTTGTATTTTTCCCATAACTTATACTAATCCAATTTACACAAACTTGGTCTCATTGGAAAGCTGAAAGAAAGATCTATAACTTCCAAGAAGGCCAAGTGGTCCAATTCTATCATATAGGAGGTGAAAATTGGGCAGCACTCTATTTATATTTTCAACAATTACCAATTCTCCAATCATGTACCTAATTAGTTATCATCCCAATATTCACTTGACTATTTCACAACTCAACACATTCATTATGTCATTGATCCTTCCATCAATTATAAACCTCCATAAAATATTCTTTACAACAACTAACTTTTAAGCATAATCCAAGTGGCAATTACCATGATTCCCAATATCATAGCCATTTTAAACATCTAATGGTCTATTTACAACATAAGACTCTAAATGACTCAAAACACAACATATGTGGCCATGGACAAGTCCCATGCTCACCAAAACACAAATATAAACAAGAGGCATAAATGTACATCAATAAAAAGACTTAGAATCTAATCATGAACACCACAAAAGCATGGAAATCTCAACATGCAATATGTTCATGATCTAAGTCCAAAATGCTAAATGTCATACTATGTGCATCAAATAAACTCCTCCAAAATGTCATGCTCTCCATATGCACATCATCTCCAACTCATCCACTAAGCAGGCCTCTTGCCCGAAGCTCCTCCTTGCTCACTATAGCCTGAAATAATGTCCCCAAACGCGGGGTGAGATATACAAATATATCTCAGTAAACCAAAGGTACTAGAGGATCACTCCACCCCATGGCTCACTCAATGTGCAACAAATAACATCATGTAAAAATGCGTAACATACAAAATCACAAACAACTGGGCACAAATCCAAGAACATCCACATAAGGATTCCGTTCAAGGACCCCATCATATAACTCCCGGGAAGCTTCCTGGTGCCTCTCCCATGGATGAGACGACCCCATGACAAAACCCAACTGGAACTCCTTATGAGCTCTATCCAGCGGAAGTCCCACGTTTGGATGATCCTGGTACCGTTCCCAGAGTCGGCCCCACGGCAAAACCTGATCGAAATCCCCAAAGGATATCTCCAGCGGAAGTCCAAACCAACACACATCTACTAGCCAGAGATCACACAATTTCACACACAACAGGCTCCAAGCATGTCACACAATCAAGCAATAATGCATGAACATACATATTCACACAATGTCCAAAGGCACAAAATCCAACCACAACCTTCCACTAGGTGTGGTGGAGCACACAAGGGATTAAAACCCAAGTTCCAAAGGTTTACCTCTTATCCATAGCAAAGCTCCACAACGTACGCTCCAAGTTTAATCCTTCTCTATTGTTTCCGTGAGAGGCAACTTGTATGATCAAATACAATGACCATCAACACATACATTATCACAAATTCACATACACAATAATAATACCCCACCTAATTTCATAGGCCTAATGGTTACCTTCCATTCATTCCAACTTGCTCAAGCATTTAAATCATCAACCTAAGTCATCATTTATTCACCAATGCCTCAGCCATTGATGAAACCACATTTTCCACATCATTTTTCTCTAAATTTACTCTATGGTTCGAATTCCCCAATCAAGCATACACCAAGACTTTCAATTCAATTTAACATTCAAACACATCTTTTAATCCTATAATTAATTCATACCAATGGTCCATAATTCAATTATCCAATCCCACATCCATGTTATTTTACAAAATCATCAATATCAACTCCAATTTTCACCAAGTTATAATTTTTCAAATCACAATAATTTTTATTACATCAATCATCATCATTTATCATTCTAAGCATTTAATTCCAAAGGAACAACATCATTAAAAGCCCCTAACCACATCAACCAATCAACACATAATCAAACACTCATCCATTTTATGATCTCAATAAAAACTCCATGAGAGTGTGAAAACTTACCATCAATCAACTCCTAGGCAACCCAAGAACAAGTTTCAACACTTGAACGGTCCAAAACCGCCACTAACCACCACCAGAAAGCCCAAAACCGCCACCCACAATAGGAAAATGATCTCCTTGCACACTCAATTTCGTGGCTCACTCAAGGAAGGAAAGATGTTCACAAGGTGATTTGGAACAACTTTGATGTTTTACACTTTTGAATTTGAGTAGGTTTTGGATGTGTTTTGGTGGTTTGAAGTTTTTGAAGCAAAGCTTCCACTTCTCCAATGGAGGCCGCGTGAGATGAAGAGGAAAGGAGGAGAGAGAAATTTCTTTTGAGTGTGTAATTGGCCACTTGTCCACTTAAATCTCTTAAGTGGGTCCCACATGCGAATTAACTTTATTAAATCACCTAATTTAAACCACAAATTCATAACCTACGTATTTTTCTCGTTCGCGTCATATTTTTACTTCCTAAAAATACTGATATTATTTTTGCGCTTATCGGTACAATTATATCGTAGTATTTTACACCGGAAAATCACTATTCATCCGATTTTTCGAAATTTGCCAGTTCACTCGATTTTTCGTCCTGAATCCATTTCCGGCATTATTTTTACCATTTGAGACCTTCTACTCAATTTTTCATGCTTAGGGTTGCGTGTTTGGTAAATTACTATTTTGCCCTTTTTACGTATTTTGATCATAATTTCAGGATTTTCAATAATCCTACCCCTTAATTCACATTTTCATATATAATTATGCATTTGCGAAATCCGAGGTGTTATACGTATGGTACTTAGGTTCTTTTTTTTTTTACCTTTATGCTTTTACTATATGTTGTAAAACTAATTCCATTGGATAAGATGAATAAAACATTGAGCTTTTACAGCTTTGACATAATGTTCCATCTCTCCTGGTTCATGGTCCCGCAGGTCTGACGAATATCTATATAATTTTATTATTCTGAAAGGTTTTTTTCCTCCCTTTATACCTAAATATAAATTCAACACCTGAAAATGTTTTAAATGTTTTTATTTGTCTGAATGTTATACTGAACTGCATGATCGTGTAGCTCTGAATTAATCGATAAAATCATCAAAACCCTAAATTATCTTTTTCTGCTTTTACTACTTTACTCAAAGTTAATCTGTGGTTGTTTGGGTGGATGCATGAGTATATTGTGGACATGGTCTTATGTATTTATCATTTGCTTTGTTGAGGTTAATTATTATTTGTCTTCGTTTTTATTCTATTGCGTCACGGATAATTTGTTCTTTTTCCTTGCTTCAAATCCTGTGGCTACACATTAACAGAAGTAATAGTACCATGGTTGGGCCCTTATTTAATGACAGTTTTTAGGTCAAAGGGGGAGATGTAAGAAAAATTACCAACTTAACCCTTACTCCAAGTATTATATTTGGTTATTTATTAAAATCACCTTTTGGAGGAGAGGGTTGGATTGTTAGTGTGGACGATTTGGAAGATATAATTGGAGGGCATGTATGGTAAGCAATGATGAATCATTAATTGTCTTATGACTCATAAAATGTATAAATCCATTTTTTAAAGAACTGTTCAAGAAACAAATGATCCCCCTTATCGCTCTCGTTACGAGCGTATCCTCAAACATACTCCTATCCTTTCATCAAAGAATATTCTTTGTGAGAGGATTTTTAAGATAAAAATAGAAAAGAATAACCGAACCGAGTTCGTTAATTTGACTTAGGTATCAATAGACAAACCAATAAATCTTTTACACTTAATTTTTCCTTTCCTTTTTTTCCTTTTCAATTTCAGCCTCCTTAATTGCATTTTTTGCTTTTTCTGGTTCATGTGAAATGTAAATCAATTTTAAAGTCATTGATATTTCCTTTATTTTCTTTATCGGTTGTAGTAATATTTTCCTTTGGAAACTTCTGTTATCAGTACCTGTATGATATATGGATCAAGAAGACAGCAAATTGGACACTGAGAATGCTCCCGAAATGTCTTTTAATCCCCAGTCATCAGGAAAAGATGATAGCAATAAGGATACTGAACCTCCTGAAGGATCTAGTAAACCCGAGTTGAGTGAAAAGAATATGGACCCAGAAATGTCTTTTAATCCTCAGTTATCAGGAAAAGATGATAGCAATAAGGATACTGAACCTCCTGAAGGATCTAGTAAACCCGAATTGAGTGAAAAGAATATGGACCCAGAAGACAGCAAGTTGGGCACTGAGAATCCTTCCGACATGTCTTTTAATCCTCTGTCATCAGGAAATGATGATAGCAATAAGGGTACTGATCGTCCTGAAGGATCTAGTAAACCAGAGTTGAGTGAAAAGAAAATTGACCAAGAAGACAAGAAGTTGGGCACTCAGAATCCTCCCGATGTGTCAGGAAATGATGATAGCAATAAGGATACTGATCCTCCTGAAGGATCTAGTAAACCAGAGTTGAGTGACAAGAATACTCCACGATCATTGAAGGCAAAATCTAAAATTGTTAAGAAATCTCTGGCTGGTATATCTAAAACCAAAAAGAACAACGGTTCTCAACAGATTCGCCGGAAAAAAAGAAATAGGAAAAACAAAAAAGTAGTGGACAATGGCGAAAGTTGTCACAATGAAGATGAGAAACAAATTTCAGACAATAGCCAGCAGAAGGAAACTAATGATGAACCACCTTTGGAGGAGAGCCATCAAGCTCAAAAAAATAAGGGGAAGATCATTCCCTTAGATAAGGCTGAACGAAAACAGAAGAAAAAAGAGAAGCATAGAGAGTCAAACAAGGGTTCTAGGAGTGGGACAAACAAAGGTAAGCCTAGTGATGTGGAAAAGAGTCAGTCAAAAGACGAAAGGAGGGAAAAGCTTGGTGGTTTCATCTTTATGTGCAACGCAAAGACAAAGCCTGACTGTTTCCGCTACCGTGTCATGGGTGTTTCAGCTGGTAAAAAGGATGTTGTTTTAGGACTCAAGCCTGGGGTTAAACTTTTTCTTTATGATTTTGATCTGAAGCTACTGTATGGTATTTACAAAGCTTCATCTTCTGGTGCTATGAAGCTTGAACGGAGAGCTTTTGGTGGCAATTTTCCTGCTCAGGTTACTTTCTCTCCTTTATTTTCCTATCTGATTAATCCTAATCGTCTATGTTTATCTTGTTTTATATGCTGATGGCTGACACCTTTAGGTGCGGTTCAAAATTTCTTCTGATTGTTTCCCTCTACCTGAGAGCGTTTTCAAAAAGGCCATCAAGGAGAATTATAATGAAAGGAACAAGTTCAGAACAGAGCTTACTATTGGACAAGTGAGCATCAAATGTTGCCTTTGGTGGACTGGGTATCTGTTTCTTTGATTCTATGTCATGAATGATATTCAAATGTTCTGTTTCAGGTGCGGAAGCTCACTAAACTTTTCCGACCAGTTGGAATTCATTCAGCTGTGCAGCCTATCCATTCCCCTCCAAAAGCAATGATTAGAGAAAGGGAAGCTCCTGAAGGTATTAGAGGATCATGGCCCCATTTGCACAGGGAAAGAGTTACTGGAACGTATGCTATACCAGAACCTTATGAGGGAGATTATGAACACCATCGCCTGGACCCTGGCTACCGGGGCAATGTCCCTGCACATATTGAAAGTCTTCAAACTGATCCTCTTTATTTGGATGACAGTGGACATAAGAACTATTTTCGTGGTGCAATTTCTGACCATATAAAGGATCCTCATTATGCCTATCGCTATGGTGCTTCACCTAGGGATACATATTTGACACCTTTAAGTAGAGAGCACATCTCTTCAAGCTCTTATTTGGTTGGAGAAAGACCATTCGTTCGGAATGATAACTTGCCAAGGAGAGAGATTGTTCAAGATAGGGTCTACTCAATATATTCTGCCGCTGATCCTTTGTCTGATTATGATAGAATGCAGCCGTATCATGGAGACAAGTTGGAGGCTTCCCATGCACCAGTTTCACGTCGTTATTCTTTTGCTGGCCCATCATTTTCCCGTCGCTGAGCTAAACATGCATTTTGAATCCCTTGTCATGTGTTTTTTACCATAAGCTTTCATCCTGGTGACTGACTGAGTTAGTTTAGAACTTTATTAATCCTACATACTTGGTCACCTTTGGATTTTGAAAGACATTTCTACATTTTGATATTTGAATGCTGTTGAATGTGCGAATTGCCACCCAAGAATATGACAATTTACAATCCAGATACTAGCTCTGGAACATTTCATGAGGGGCTTGTTTGACGTCAATTAATTATTACTGATTTGAATTTGGGGTTTGTAGCTAATTAACCATATGCTGGTTTAATGGATAAGAAGATAGACCAGCATCCTGTTGGTTAATTTCAGCAACACAGGTTGTCATATGCTGTAAGCTGATAATTTGTGAAAGCCATACCTGCACTATAGAATCCATTACAAACTCATGCTATTAATTGATAACTATATATGGTCTCACTGCAACTTTTTCTTAATGGTTCAAAAGGGGCTACCTTTGCTTGGAGTCTGAAAGGGTTTAAGGTAGTTTAATTCTTTTATTCTATTTTATTTGTTCTTTATAATAGTCCTTTTTGCTCTTATTTAGCTGTGAATTAATTGGATCTTCAGATAATTGTGACATAACCCAACCTTGAAATTTTTGACTTCCTTTGGCCAGTAGTTAACCTTTTATACTGACTTATGAATCGTGGCCTGTTTTTCATATGGGTTAAAACCAATTTGAGGCAAGGTATGCTTGATGTCTTGGATTCTCCCATTTTATCTTGGATTCTCCCATTTTTATAACAAAGTGTACCTAGTTCAGCAAGTAGGGGCTGGGCTAGTTGTGTATTTTAACCCGCCAACTCAATACAACTTGTCCCGCATGCAGACAGGTCAAAACAGGTTAAGGTGGTGGTTAAGGTTGGGGGGTTGGGTCAACTTGCAGGTTAGTGTGTGTAACTTTTTTGTTTCAATTCAAATTGTCATCCTCATATATATCACATTATTTTTTCACTGTTGTGAAAAGAGTGATGAATAAATGAAATCAACTCAAGTAAAAAAATTATTAGACAAATAATAAGAAATTATAAGATAGAGAGAAAGAGAGTAAGGAGAAAGAGTCACAGATTTTATTATCCAGTGTGTAAGAATATAAGTCTTACCACTTATATATATATATATATATATATATATATATATATATATATATATATAAAGGTGGAGAAAGGGTACAAGCTCTTCATCTATCCTAGATGTTACAATACACTAATCTCCCATAAAATATAGTAATGCCCATTTGTAACAATCTCATAAAGTGTAGTTAAGTCAATTGTAACACTCCCCCTTTGACATTATGATGCGAAGTCTATGCCTCATTAAAACCTTGCTAGAAAAATTCAATGGGAAAAAAAATTAGAGAAGGAAAAAGAATACATGACATATGCTATCAAATATTGATAATCTGCCTCATTAAAAACTTTTAACTAATTTAACTAAGAAAAATCCAATGGAAAAAAAAAAACAGCAAAGGAAAAAAGAGTATAGATTTATACCTTTAGGGCCCATCCTTTAGGGGTGATAATAATTAGTTTGCTCCCCCTTATGAAAGTAACTTATTAAGTTTACACATACCTATTTGATATACAAGTTTCTCAAATGTGGAAGTAGGTAGGGATTTAGTGAATAAATCTGCAAAATTATCCTTAGAGCGAACCAGATGGATATTTATTTCACCCTTCTTCCGAAGTTCATGTGGGTAAAAGAACTTTGGTGAAATATGTTTAGTCCTATCACTTTTAATATATCCATTACTCATTCGTGCAATTCACGCTGCATTATCCTCAAAAAGGATAGTAGGGGAATTACTAATTATGGGTAAATCACATGAAACATTAATACGTTCTTTCAAAAAGCTTAACCAAACACATTCTCGAGCAGTTTCATACAATGCAATAATCTTTGAGTGATTTGAGGAAGCAGCAACTAAACTTTGTTTTACAGATTTCCATGATATTGCAATACCTTCGCAAAGGAAAACATATCCAATCTGTGATTTAGCATTATGTGGATCGAACATATTGCTAGCGTCAGAATATCCCACCAATGTAAAATCCTCATCTCATGGATAGAATAAACCAAGATCATAGAACCTTGAAGATAACGAAAGATATGTTTAACCCCATTCCAATGTCTTTTGGTTGGCTCAAAACTATGTCTTGTTAGAACATTAACTGTAAATATGATATTAGGCCTGATGCAATTTGCAAGATATAATAGTGCTTCTATAGCGCTAAGATAAGGAACTTTAGGTGCTAATCCTTCCTAGTTAGCTTCTTTAAGTCTAAATGGATCTTTATCCACTTCTAGTCAACGAACTATCATTTGGGGGAATTAGAGGGTGACACTTGTCCATATAAAATTTCTCCAAGATCCTTTTCACGTAGTTAGACTAGTGCAAGAAATTCCTTTTGCGAGATGCTCGATTTGTAGGCCAAGACAATAATTGGTTTGACCTAAGTCTTTCATTTCAAATTCCCCTTTTAGACAGGAACAAGCTTCTTCAACCTCCTTTTGAGTCACGACTATATTCAAGTCATCCATATACACCGATATAATTGCAAAGCCATTAAGAGATTTCTTAATGATCACATAAGGGCAAATCTCATTATTCAGACACCTTTGCTTTAGGAGGTAATCTTTCAACCGGTTGTACCATATACGTTCGGATTATTTGAGACCATACAATGATCTTTGCAGCTTAATATTGAACATACTGCGATTTTCATTCTTGTTCATATTGGGTATTGGGAAACCTTTGGGGACTTTCATATAAATGTCAGTGTCAAGTGACCCATATAAATATATAGTTATATGCAGTCACGACATCCATTAATTGCATCTCAAGGTGCATGCGTGCTGCTATACTGATTAAGTAACAGAACATAATGTTGTCCTTTATGGGAGGTGGCATCATAATTAATACCGGGTTTTAGTGAAAATCGTTGTGCAGCTAATCTTGCTTTATAGCGTACCACTTCGTTACGCTCATTGCATTTCCTTACAAACACCATTTATATACTACAGGGATAATATTTTTAGGTGTTCAAAAAATAGGTCCAAAAATGCTATGTTTATTAAGTGAGATTAATTTTGTTTTAATTAGGTCCTTCCATTTATTACAGTATGAACGCTTCTTCCATTCTTGATTGGTTCTAGGTTCTGGATCCAAATTATCTCCTAAGACAGTAAGAGCTACTGAGAAGGAAAATGAACCATCATCAACAATTGTGATTCTATCATATTTCTCTCATGTGTTAACATAGTTTATTGCAACTTTTATGTCAACATCAACCAAATCTTTATCGTATCCCATGACATTTAAATTTGGTCGTTCCGTATTCCTAGGACTTATTTCACTGGTTTGCTTTCTTCAGGATTAACCTCTTCAGGAGGCGCAATCGGTGACTTATTTTTCTATTTTCGTGGATTTATGTCTTTAGCCTCTATAGGTTGTCCATGCTTCCGGCGTTGACTAGGCTCAGCTAAATTTTGTCTTATAGAAATCTCCATTCTAGGTGTTGTATTCTCCGCAGGAATGTGGGACTTAATCACTCCTTTGTGATCAGTAAAAGCATATGGTAATTAGCTCGCTAAAGCTTGCAAGTTAATGATCTTTTGAACTTCAAGTTCGGTTATACTTATACGTGGATGAAGATAATTCATTTGATTTTCCTTTCAGAAAATTTCCCGGGATTCTTTGATGTTATGACTTTCTTCCCCTTAATGTTGGAAAATGCCCCTCATTAAATACACAATCAACAAATTGGACAGTAAATAAGTCACCCGTCAGTGACTCCAAGTATTTAATTATAGATTGGGTCTCATAATCCACATTAATGCTCAGCCTCCTTTCAGGCCCATTTTAGAATGTTGTGGAGGGGGTATAAGGATATATGCAGCACAACCAAAAGTGCACAGATGAAAAACATCAGGTTCACATCCTCGTACAAGTTGAAGAGGGGAATATTCATGATATGTTATTGGTCGGATTTGGATGAAGGCTGCAACATGTAATATCACAAGTCCCTATAAGCTGAATGGTAATTTTGGATTCAACAATAATGGTCCAGCAATCATTTAAAGGTGTTTAATTAAAGATTCAGCTAGTCCATTCTGTGTATGAGTATGTTGTACAAGATGCTCCATGTCCATTCCGATGGCTTTGTAGTAGTCATAAAAAATTTTAGACGTAAATTCAGCAGCATTATCTAACTAAATCTTCTAGATCGGGAAGTCTAGGAATTGTGCTCATAATTTAATCATTTAGGCGAGCAACCTTGAGAAAGTCAAATTACGTGTAGACAACAGGCTAACATATATGCATCGCATTGAAGCATTAATTAGGACCATAAAGTTTCTGAAAGGTCCACAAGGAGGATGGATGGGTCCACATATATCTCCTTGAATGCGATATAAAAAAGTAGGAGATTCTATCCTAATTTTAGTATGAGATGGTTGTATGATTAATTTTCCCTCAACACATTAAAAAATTGGGTAAAGGAATGCAACGATTTGTTAATCTATGCCCAACTGAATGTGTTAGAATTCGACGCTTCATATTAAGCCTAGTGTGACCTAAACAGTCATGCCACAACTTAAAAGCAATTGGGTTCGTGAATTTCAAGTTCATGGAAACAATAGAATCACTTGTATATAAGTGAAATATAGCCCTGATAAAAAAGATTGCAACTTTTCAACAACTTGTTTTCTGCCCCCAACCTTCGGGGTTAGGTATAAATATTCTTTATCATCATCAATCTTAGTTTCAATTTGAAGCCCTTTGAACAAGTATCCTTAAAACTAAGAAGATTTTATTTTAGCCGAGGGAAAAATAACGCATCATTAATAATAATTTTTGTACCAATTAGTAGTATTATGCAAGCTCTTCCGGAGCCTATAATCAAACTACTATCACCTAAAATAGTAGTGACATTCCCTTCACACTTTTTCAATAAATTAAAAAATTTCTTTGTTGGAGGATGGTATGTGTAGTACCACTATCTACTATGCACATGCTAACCATGTCATCCTTTTGGTTATTGCGCAACATCATACACTATCATCATAAAAAAAAAACGACAATAATAATAATGATGATAGCACTTGAAAAGATAATGAATGCATTGATGTGTCACTTATTATTACTGTAGTATAACTAAATTTCATAATTGTTTTATGTTTGATTGAATTTCATTAAATCACTTTTACCATTGCTTTGTATATGATTAAATCTCATGGCCATTATAACTGTTTCATGCATGGTTAAATTCTATTCAATAACCAATTTAAGCATTCAATAATGTATTCAATGAGAAGCAAGTGGAAATAAATTAATTTAATCACACCCATGACAAAAATAATAATAATAAGGATAGATAATTTT